CAGACATTGATGGATAAGGCACAGATGAAGGCATTTGAGGCGCGTCTGCCTAAATATAATAACACGATGGCGCGTACGCTCACACACACACACACACACACACACAATACATGCATATCTATATACAGAAAAATATAATTAGGAGAAATATAATATATAAACTTTCTCTCTTTCTCTTTCTCTCTTTATATTTATATATATAGAGAGAGGGAGAGAGAGAAAGGGAGAGTATGTATTTATACACTATCTCTTTCTTTCTTTCTCTCTCTCTCTCTCTCTATATATATATATATATATATATATACGAATTATGGTGGATAATTAAAAAAAGTTTATGAAACGCGTTTCGGCGTTCGCGCCGACTTCATCTGACTAAAAATGAGTTTACCGAGTATATACGGTATTTCTTTCCGTTTAAGCTCCAAAGAAAGAATTTCCGTTCTCAGAAATGGATTATTTCAAAACGCAAATCTGTTCTGGTAAAGATTCTAAAAATTCATTGAAATTATAATTCATTCAACTCTAAAATTTAATTCCAATCTTAAAACGAAAATTTATTTTATTCGTGTGACGTCCAGTCTTTCTTTATTAGTCTTTGAAAAAAAAATTACAGATATGACTGAGTAAAGACAGTTTGCTTTCTTTAAGAAGTGTGAAAATAACATATTCTTACTGTCTTTTCACAATGAGGCTATACACCGGATGTAACAGTAAAATTGTCCAAATCGTGTAACAGTAAAATTGTCCCGTTGTTAGATTAAGTTTTGAACGGTTGTCTTTTAGAAACGATTAAATATATCTTACTGTAAAGTTGAAAGGTTTTATAACACTATTTGAATCTACTTTGAGCAATAAGAATGTATAATTACACTGGAAGCTTAACAGAAGAATCTTAATGAAATCGATCATAAACGAAAATGACATGTTCATCATTAATTAATCATAGATAAGGATTGGAAACTTAAGAAGGATTGAAATAAAGTTCAAATATATATATATATATATATATATATATATATATATAATTATTATTATTATTATTATTATTTCAGGATCATTTTCCAACTTATTCAAGACGGTCTTCGCCCTCTCTAAACTTCTAATTTCTTTTCCTTGCGTAACAAAGTGCCTTACACGTTTTACGTACGATTTCATTTTCAAGTCAATTTTTTCACGGTTCTTTGAACTGTTATAGTTGAAACTCACGTGCCAAAAAACTTATGAATTGAGTTGGATCTTTTCTAATTGATCTTTTTAGCTCTAAGTTGAAATGATGATCTCTCTTTCTGTTGTGACCTCCTGAACCAATTTTCCTCTCTATTGTTCCCTCATTTTTAAACTTATTCACTGTTCTCTTGTTGGATGAAAGCCATAGTATGAATGTCTTTTAAAAGAATTTTAACCTGCTCGCTTTCTGAATAAGTATTTTTCAGTAATTCTTACGACAATTAATGTCAAGATGGCTAAACCTGTTATCTGAAAACTTGGTAAAAAAAAAAAACACAATGAGTTTACTATTTACATTCGGACTATTGTTCTCATCTTTGTTGTCATATTTATCACAACGTTTCGGCCGATGTACGCGCTGGCCTTTTTCAGGTGGTTAGAATATCGAACTAAACCCTTTATTTCTCTCGCTGGTGTAGACTGTTCCAGTTCCACGTAATGGTTGTCAGTTATCTCCTGTTAATTCCCCTTTTCAATGACTTCACTGCCTTATCCAGGTATTGGACTCACAAATCTTTGGGTCCTGTCACTGGATCTAACCAACGCCTTTATCCACTGTGCCATGTGTCCTTAAGGACAATGAGTTTAGTGTGTGTTTTTTTTTATATTAAACATTTTGTGGGAAGGGCAATTATCGAATGTTACACGATTTAGACAATTTTGATGTTACCCCCGGTACAACAATGCGTGCCGAGCAATAACAACGTGAATAACAAGTAAAAGAAACTTTGAAATCTTTTGTAAGGTTTATATTTATTCGAAATAAAATTGTTAATATAGAAGAAAATTATTTTAACCACTTTGAAATAATTCGATATATGTTCACCTACCATTAGTTAATCTAAATAAATTAAACTAGAAAGATACTGGAAACTTTCACGTTATACCCATTTTAATATTCTGAAAAATCATAATTCTGAAGAATCATAATTCCTACGTCATTTTTTAAAATCGAATTTACCCCAAGCAAAGCCATTAAAACATATGTGGATATTGGGTGTGAAAGAATTGAAAAACAGAAACATTTATTAAAGAGTGATACTAAATTTAGGAGTTAAGAATTAAGAAGACAGTAGAAAACGATTGACATTGAATTGACATTTTTGAAGATCAAAAGTTAGCTGGACGGCATGTAGCCGGCAAAGTGTTCCATTAATGAGAAGTTCGAGAGTAGAAACGGTTAGCATAGAACTTACGATTGAATCTAGCTAAATGAATTTTAAATTGATAAGACCTTTTGCCAATTTATAACTTAAATTCATAAATCTAGGTGTCATAGCAAAGAGTTCATCCGAACAATTACTATAAATATATTTATAGAAAAGGTACAAAAAATCAACTTTAGAGCGGCTGAAAAGTGACTGAAACTTAGATGCCAGGTCAGGACCAATAGTATTGCTGATTTATCAAGAATCTCTACATTTATAGCTTTGTTATGAAAACACTCCAACGAGTGCACAGGATCGCCTCGTCAGTGATGTTATGACTTGGGGTCATGACAAGTTTCGGGTCTTGCAACATCATACTTGTTTGCCAAGGGGACCCTACCGAAACAGTAGTATTCCGGCAGGGATCCTGAAGCGAAAATCCACCAAGCACGTAACAAATGGGCACATTAAGTAACTGCAACTGCTGATCTTGAAATTAAAAACGATCAATCATTAACGACCTACATGCATATGTGGCAGCAATATTATAATGTGACATCACCCCGTCTGTCTCCGCGCCGTCCTGTCCTGTCCTGTCCCGCGACGACCAATGTGACTTGGTATTGGTCGCGGCACCAAATGTGACGTTCTAACCTTTTGCTGATTCGGATGGGAATCTGGTGAGATTCGGTATCAGCCTTGTCGTTCCCAGCTCGACTCCAACGTCTGGTTACCGAAGTAACTGCTTCGATTTCTAGTCTAACCTACCCACGCTGTGATTTGATCTTAGGTAGACGAAATCAATCAGTCGCCGGGCCGTAATGAAAGTCGAGTCTGAACAAGGGTAATACCGCAAAAGTAAAAGAATACAAAGTAACAATTCGAAAAGTTCAAATGTGTTAAAAAAGGATAACAATATTTTATATCTGGTTGCTGAATACAGGACTGAGTCTTTCTCCCAAACCGCTAATATGGATACGTGACACTTTGCGTTTCTTAGGCGAGTCTTAATATCTTAGGTTGTATTTCGATAACTGGTTTTTGGTGTATCTTCAGGTGATATTCGTAAAACTTGTTTTGGTGGTGTGAGTCTAAGTCGTTCTTCAAAAATAAATTGTTCTTAGTTAAAAGTTGAGGTCGTGATTGCGTGGATCTTTCAGTCAGGTTCCTGCGAGGCGGGTCTCAGAGCTCACAGCTCAACTGCAACTAACTTCTCTCTGACTCAACCCTTCTCCGTCTCTGGCTCAACCCCTTGCCTGTCTGCCATCTACTCGCTGCGACTCTGTTTATATGGACGCCGACCAAAACCGGGGTGGGCCTGTCGAGACTTGATAATTCTAAATCAGCATTAAGAATTTTCTTTGTTTTCGGTCAGGAAGTCCTTAATTTCTAGTTTAAGAGAATCTCCCAAATTCTTCCTTTCTCATATTGGTATCTGACACCAATGCCCTCAGAGGGCGTCAACAGGTTCCCCTCTCTCTCACAGTGGCATCTCACACCAATCCCTTCAGAGGGCGTCAACAGGCCTCCCCTCCTTCATAGTTTACCTTCGCCTACCGCTCTCGCCACCCTTCAGCCAATGAACGCTCAGCAGCGTGGGTGCTTGCAATTATCGCCCAAAGGAAGAAAAATATCTTCCTTCCTTTCTCTCGTTTTCACTCTCTTACACGAGCAGACCTCACACGACACTTAACCGAACACCGTCTGGAACTCGTCAACGAGACATTCGCCAAACAAGCACTGATCTTCCGCAATGATCTTCCGCACCCTGTCGCCAATTATCCGTTCCGATAAAATAATTTTTCTATCATGGCCAGCTCTGACACAAAACAGGTGCTCTTCTCAAATGATATTTCCGCAAACAGTTAATGGTTTAATCTTTCCTTGTTTGTACTTTGTGGGTGGTCCAGCGGACATTTTTCTCGGTCAGAGCATGACCTAATTAATTTTTATCTCTTAGCATTCTGCCTTGTAGGTCACTTGACCAACCTGAAATTTTCATTATTGCCATGGGCAGACTGCTATCCTTTATTCGCTCTGTCGTAACATAAATCAAATCAAATCCTACAGATCCGCGACCTTACTTTCTTCGTTAATGAAAATAAAATCTTTACCACTTTTCTTTGTTAGAAAAAATAACATCGCTCAGTGTCTTTTCGTGATAGCTTCTTATCACCTAAATTAATTCTCGCCTTTTTTTTTCACGCAACCCTAAATAATATCACAATAAGCCTGAACGAAATGAAGACTTATAGATATGCAAGATAGATTCTGGAGAGAAAAATTGTCTCACATGACACAGTGAACCAACTTTCTTAGCAGCTGATCAATGGATTCAAAATAGTCTCTTCACTTAATGACAGAGGAGAATTTTAGCCAGAGAAGGCGCAACGTGTACACCCTTAATTCTTAAAATAACGGCTTCGTTCTTTCTTGCATTTTCTTATTGAAACCAAGTAGATTTTCTGATATGTCATCAATATGTTTTTGTGCTGTCAAAACGAAATAGTCCATTATTTAGGATGCATTGGCAGGATGTAACGGTTGTGTGAACCAACTAAGGAACTATTTAATGAAGGGAGGGCAAGAATTATTATACGATTTTTGACGCATCCGACGGACTAGCTTATCCGAACATTCGAACGTTTTCTTCTTCTTCTTCTTCTTCTTCGTTGTCGTCTTTGTCTTCTTTTTCGACTTCTTCCTCGTCTTCTTTGCCGTCGTCTTCTTCTTCGTTTCTTCTTCTTCTTCTTCTTCTTCTTCGTTGTCGTCTTTGTCTTCTTTTTCGGCTTCTTCCTCGTCTTCTTTGTCGTTGTCGCCTTCTTCGTCTTTTTTTCGACTTCTTCCTCGTCTTCTTCTTTGTCGTCTTCTTCTTCTTCTTCTTCGTTGTCGTCTTTTTCTTCTTTTTCGACTTCTTCCTCGTCTTCTTTGTCGTTGTCGTCTTTGTCTTCTTTTTCGACTTCTTCCTCGTCTTCTTCTTTGTCGTCGTCTTCTTCGTTTCTTCTTCTTTTTCTTCTTCTTCTTCTTCTTCTTCTTCTTCTTCTTCCCACTCCTCCTCCACCTCTTCTTCTTCGTGTCGTTTCCCTTCATATCTCTTCAACATTTTCTATCCTTTTTAGCTCTCATAAACGTTTCTCTTTTTACCATTCCTCCGATTCCTCGTTTTGCCATCCATTCACATAACCTCGTCAGGTAGGTAACTCGCCGACCTATCTCTCTTTTGCATTCTATATCTCTTGTGAGTGTCAAATTTTTCAAGCACCCCTTTCTCGTCATATTTCCAGGATAGTTTATTGTTGTTTTCAGATTCTGTGTCTAGATAACTTTTTTGTTTACATTTTCCTTAAAACTTACCCAATGCTTTCACGCTCCGTCCATTGTATTCTCAAAATCCTTTTGTAGAACCGCCTTACCATAGGTTCCTGTTCATCTCTTAGAGCACTGCCTTACGTTCACTGCCATAACTTAAGATATGGCAGACAACACTACTGTTTTTTTTAATGAAGTTTTCCTGTTCTACAGCAATTTGCGTTGTTTTATTAGAATTTTGGACTAATAAAATGCGTACCTCCTGCTAATTCCAAATCCCATTTTATTCAAGACCTCAGAGTACACAAAAACTTCACAATCTTCCTTAAAAATATATCCGAATACTCGTTTTATTTTAAGTGTACGACATTTATTCTTGCCCCGCGTTTGTATTCCTGGGTTGTATCTAACGATCTCTTCTTTGTACTCATGTAGTCTCTTACTATCAACAATTGCCATTCTTATTTTAGCATTGGGTGACAGGATGATTTTATGATACCCGCTTGTCGTGACAAGATTGTTTGTTTGCCGTCTTCTTTTGGGCACAGTTTGATTCCTTTCATTTTCGTCAAGCATCTGTCTGAATTCACGTTTGGCACCTCATCAACAGTAGGCGTCAGGATTTCGACGGTTTCAAGGAAATGACATCTGACTTGCATCATCAAGGGAGTAGGTAGTCTTTGTTGACTCTAATCGCCTTATTAATTTTATCTTGGCATCGTCAGTCTCTTATGGTGGCAATCTAAATGGCACGGTTTTTGGTAAACTGTCTCGATTCGTTCTTTAAACGAAAAGTTTTAGTCAGATGTAAGACACATTTTTTTGTTTTTTTTTAGTTTGCTGTTACAAATGACTTTAGACAATAAGAACCTTAAGGTGGAGAGGTGGTGTCATTCCTTGCATTTTATTTACGGTGTCCTGGGCCAATTTAGTCTTTATATATTGTTCCATATAAAAGTCTGCTACCGATTTTCCGAATTTGTCTAGCAATAACGGTAAACGTCAACAATGAATCTTGATCAAAAATGGTGGGCGATCAGTATATTTAGTGAAATCTCTTTAACAAATTCCGGCTTTTTTGGATTACTTGGAATTAGAAAATTCATTTAAAGATGACGTCACATCCTTCGATTAAATTGAACGTGATTTTTATATGTATTGTTCTTTATCCACCGATATATATATATATATATATAATTATAATAAAAACACATTTAAATCGATAAACGAAAGCGTTCCTGTTTCAATACTTTGAGAAGTAAAAGTATTGAAACAGGGAATCTTCTGTGTAGCGATTTCAACATTTTTTTATTATAATCTTTTATAATAATAATAATATATTGATCTACTTTGTATTGAGCAATTTTTTAAAAGTAAATGCTACGAAGAGTGTAATTTTACGCCATCTGTTCTTTCTCTCATTTATTTGTATATATATATATATATATATATATATATATATATATATATATATATATATATATATATGTGTGTATGTAAGCTCTGACTGACACCAAATCGGTTGGGTTTCGATCTGGGCTTGAGGCACTCGGTTGTCTAATCGCACTGAACAGCTGTGAAACAGTACTGTCTGTGAATGACTAAATTTTCTCTTGAAAATATATTTTCAAATGAGCACTCTTGAATGACAAGGTAATTCTAAAAACAAAGGTCAACAAACAACGGCTTTGTTTACGTTTGTAAAAACAATACGCTAGATTTGGCCGGTTCGTTCTGTCTAGTGAAGATGGCTCAATGGTAGAAACTCTGTCATCTAACAGTACTCACTGCGAATGGCACATAAATATGTGCTGTACCTTTTGGAAAGCGCTCCATATCAGTGATAGACCTGGGTTTCAAGCCCTTTGCGAATGATCATATCTGCTCACGAAACGTACCTTAACGTAAACATTGACAACATTATGGGTTTAGTCCGAAAATTATTTAATATATTTCTGTTTGTACTTTATTTTAATAGATAAAAATAATTTAAGTAAATGCTCCCTCTATCTCTCTCTCTATTTCTCTCTCTATCCCTCTCTTTCTCTCTCTCTCTCTCTCTATATATATATATATATATATATATATATATAAAGAAAGGTATAATAAATTTAGGACTTCATCGGACTAGATTTGTTTACTTTGATGCACCTACACACGAGAGATGATGGGAATATTAAATTCAGGAATAAAAGATCAATGTGTTTCGGTCATATAATATAGTTATTTTCGTTTTCATTATATTTGTTATATCCCATAAAGATCCCACATTATAACAAGAGAAAATCTGGTAATAATGTTGAAAAGTTGTAAGAACCTGGATACAAATTTAATGTGGATGAACTAGCGATGAAAGCAGTTTAAAATCAGTCAGTTATGTGCCATGCGTGATACACGCTGACGACGCAGATTTTTCCCGCAGTAGGCTGCCATTTCTTTCTGCGGTAGAACAGTTGCCATCCAAGGCTATAGAACCCGGTCTGTCCTGCTATATACCCATATTTGAGTAGGGGAGAAGAAGAGGACTCATACCTTTCCCAAAGGTCAGTCAATTATGTGCCATACGTGATACACGCCTAGGCGATCATGTATCTTTCGATACATGACTGAGAAGACAGATTTTTCCCGCAGTAGGTTGCCAATTCTTTCTGCAGTAGACCAGTTGCCATCAAAGTCTATAGAACCCGGTCTGTCCTGCTATATACCCATAGTTGAGTGGGGGAGAAGAAGAGGATTCATACCTTTCCCGAGCGTCAGTAATTTATGTGCCATGCGTGATACGCTTAGCCGATCATGTATCAAAAGATACATAACTGACGAGGCAGATTTTTTCCCGCAGTATGTTGCCATTTCTTTCAGAGGTAGACCAGTTAGGTGGAGGGTGTAGCAAAAGAGTATTCATACCTTTCGCAAGGGCATTAGCATATAAGTGAATGTTATGGATTCGACTGGAATTCGAACTCGGCTCTCCATTTCTTCAATCCAAGCCGCTATCCATTATTCTACCTTGCCATAAATTAGCTTACGCAAAATATTATATTAACACAGAAGAGATATTTTAAAAGAACAACGCATTGAACTCAATAGTTGCTCACTGTAATGAGACTGACCACCATTAGAAAAATTACTCTAATCAAAAAAGAAAATAATTCACTAAGACGAAAATTTTTGAAAAGTGCTTTAATCGCTAGTTTAGAAATATCAGTCATCTGAGGTCCTGTTAAATTAAGAACAGCTGGATCTGTCGCAAAAATGGATTTGGAACATTTATTTTCGAATGATGGTTATCAGTATCCTTCAACGAGAGACCCAGACAAAGAGAAGTAGCTGAATAAAGATAAATTACTTTTTTAGACGAAGACGACAGGACAAAAAAAAATGTGTTAGCTATGAAACTGACCAGTACCCCGAAAAGATACAGAGAAACGAAGCGAGCCTTGGTGAACGACGGACAAGGGAAGAGACCTGCTAGAATATTCACCTCCACTTCATCTATGCCTCATTTAATTTTCGCCCGCTTAAGGTAGTAGGTTACAACACAAGTAGGTTGGTGTAATATTTAGCAAGCTTGTCTAACTAGGACATTTACGACTGGATAGTGAGTTCGATCCTCACTGGGTGTTCCATACTTTCGGCCTTGTGCCACATTTAAGCTACGCTTGGAAAATAAGGGGGCAGCTCGAGGTGGTGTAATGGTTAGCAAGCTTGACTCGCTAGAACAATAGGACTGAATAGTGAGTTCGATCCTCACTGGGTGCCCCATACTTTCGGCCTTGTACTACATCTGAGCTACGCTTGGAAAATCACTACAGCACAAGTAGGTCACTACACAAGAATATAATCTGCTTTTCTGCTAGAAATTGGCATGTGGATAACGTTTTGACCTAAGGGTAAATTTTAAGTGGTGTTTGCCTGAAAGAATCTGCACTCTTTTAACGAACTTGGTGTCAGATGTGAGCTGCAACGCAACACAAGTTCATGCACAGTAATTTTGCGTTCAGGTTCTTACAAAGTTTCACCATTCCCAGAAGATGTTTTTATCACAATGTGGGATATTTAATAATACGAAATTCTGAGACGTGACTTTATTAAAAATTTTGTGAGATAACCGCTATATCTATGTAAAAAAAAAAACAAAACAAAACAAAAAAAACATTATATAGCCTGTCTTTTGGCAAACGTATTTAGACATTTACATTATTTACACCGTTCGGACTGTTATCCTCATCTTCATTGCCCGATTCACAACGTTTCGACCGTTTTACGCTCTGGCCTTCTGGCGATTGGAATTTCAAACCGAACTCTTTATTTCGTCCATCGGGCTAAGTTGTTCCACTTCCACGCGCCAAGCAGATAAAGGCGTTGGTTAATTCCAGAGACTAGACCCAAAGAGTTATGAGTTCATTACCGGACTACAGCAGTGGTGGACCAAAATACTTGGAGAGTTGAACTAAAGAGAAGTAACTGAAACATCCGGAAGAGACATGGCATGTGGAATTAGAACAATCGACCCACCACCCCCGGTTGACAAAATAAAGGGTTCCATTCGAAATTCCAATCACCTGAAGAAGGTCGGAACGCACAAACGCCGAAAAGTTGTGAATATGGCAATGAAGATGAGGATAACAGTCCGAATATTGTAAATAATGTAAATAATCATAATACGTCATGTCAGAGACATGGACAAGTATTTAGATATATCTTACTTGTTTCAGTAGTCAGTATCCGAGCCCAGATAGAGAAGCTTGGATTTCGAACACTGATTTTAAGAGTATATTCATCTTTTAACTTAAAGTCTATGATTGTTTTA